TCGGTGCCATAAATTATATCTGGAGTCTGGAAGACTATGGCTGAAACAGCCGCGTAAAGCTGACGCGTCCCTCGCGGCCGCCGTTGTCGCATTGCGTCGAGGGCAGCAGACTCACAAGCCTATAACATGAAATTTAAAAATACTAAGAGAAAATAAAAACAGTGGCAACGCTGTAAAATAATAAAAACTTCACTTATTTTGACATTTTTGACTATTAAAAAATCCAAAAAAACAGACTCACAAGCCTCTAACACGAAATTTAAAAATATTGAGAGAAAATACAAACAGTGGCAACGCTGTAAAATAATGATAATTTCACTTATTTTGACGTTTTTGACAATTAAAAAATCCAAAAAACAGACTCATGAACCTATAACACGAAATTTAAAAATTCCAAGAAAAAATACAAACAGTGGCAACGCTGTAAAATAATAAAAACTTCACTTATTTTGACATTTTTGACAATTAAAAAATCCAAAAAACAGACTCACAAGCCTATAAAACGAATCTCAAAATTTGAAGAAAAAAAACAAACAGTGGCAACGCTGTAAAATAAAAAAAAAACTTGACTTATTTTGACGTTTTTGACAGTTAATAATTCAAAGAACAGCCTCACATGCCTATAACATGAAATTTTAAAATTCCAAGAAAAAAAACAAACAGTGGCAACGCTGTAGAATAATATAAATTTTACCAATTTTGATGTTTTTGACAATTAAAAAATCCAAAAAACAGCCTCACAAGCCTATAAAACGAATTTCAAAATTTGAAGAAAAAAAACAAACAGTGGCAACGCTGTAAAATAAAAAAAAACTTGACTTATTTTGACGTTTTTGACAGTTAAAAATTCAAAGAACAGCCTCACATGCCTATAACATGAAATTTTAAAATTCCAAGAAAAAAAACAAACAGTGGCAACGCTGTAGAATAATATAAATTTTACCAATTTTGACGTTTTTGACAAAAAAAAAAATCAAAAAACAGCCTCACAAGCCTATAAAACGAATTTTAAAATTCCAAGAAAAAAAACAAACAGTGGCAACGCTGTAGAATAATATAAATTTTACCAATTTTGATGTTTTTGACAATTAAAAAATCCAAAAAACAGCCTCACAAGCCTATAAAACGAATTTCAAAATTTTAAGAAAAAAAACAAACAGTGGCAACGCTGTAAAATAAAAAAAAACTTGACTTATTTTGACGTTTTTGACAGTTAAAAATTCAAAGAACAGCCTCACATGCCTATAACATGAAATTTTAAAATTCCAAGAAAAAAAACAAACAGTGGCAACGCTGTAGAATAATATAAATTTTACCAATTTTGATGTTTTTGACAATTAAAAAATCCAAAAAACAGCCTCACAAGCCTATAAAACGAATTTCAAAATTTGAAGAAAAAAAACAAACAGTGGCAACGCTGTAAAATAAAAAAAAAACTTGACTTTTTTGACGTTTTTGACAGTTAAAAATTCAAAGAACAGCCTCACATGCCTATAACATGAAATTTTAAAATTCCAAGAAAAAAAACAAACAGTGGCAACGCTGTAGAATAATATAAATTTTACCAATTTTGATGTTTTTGACAATTAAAAAATCCAAAAAACAGCCTCACAAGCCTATAAAACGAATTTCAAAATTTGAAGAAAAAAAACAAACAGTGGCAACGCTGTAAAATAAAAAAAAAACTTGACTTTTTTGACGTTTTTGACAGTTAAAAATTCAAAGAACAGCCTCACATGCCTATAACATGAAATTTTAAAATTCCAAGAAAAAAAACAAACAGTGGCAACGCTGTAGAATAATATAAATTTTACCAATTTTGATGTTTTTGACAATTAAAAAATCCAAAAAACAGCCTCACAAGCCTATAAAACGAATTTCAAAATTTGAAGAAAAAAAACAAACAGTGGCAACGCTGTAAAATAAAAAAAAAACTTGACTTTTTTGACGTTTTTGACAGTTAAAAATTCAAAGAACAGCCTCACATGCCTATAACATGAAATTTTAAAATTCCAAGAAAAAAAACAAACAGTGGCAACGCTGTAGAATAATATAAATTTTACCAATTTTGATGTTTTTGACAATTAAAAAATCCAAAAAACAGCCTCACAAGCCTATAAAACGAATTTCAAAATTTGAAGAAAAAAAACAAACAGTGGCAACGCTGTAAAATAAAAAAAAACTTGACTTATTTTGACGTTTTTGACAGTTAAAAATTCAAAGAACAGCCTCACATGCCTATAACATGAAATTTTAAAATTCCAAGAAAAAAAACAAACAGTGGCAACGCTGTAGAATAATATAAATTTTACCAATTTTGACGTTTTTGACAAAAAAAAAATTCAAAAAACAGCCTCACAAGCCTATAAAACGAATTTTAAAATTCCAAGAAAAAAAACAAACAGTGGCAACGCTGTAGAATAATATAAATTTTACCAATTTTGATGTTTTTGACAATTAAAAAATCCAAAAAACAGCCTCACAAGCCTATAAAACGAATTTCAAAATTTGAAGAAAAAAAACAAACAGTGGCAACGCTGTAAAATAAAAAAAAACTTGACTTATTTTGACGTTTTTGACAGTTAAAAATTCAAAGAACAGCCTCACATGCCTATAACATGAAATTTTAAAATTCCAAGAAAAAAAACAAACAGTGGCAACGCTGTAGAATAATATAAATTTTACCAATTTTGACGTTTTTGACAAAAAAAAAATTCAAAAAACAGCCTCACAAGCCTATAAAACGAATTTCAAAATTTTAAGAAAAAAAACAAACAGTGGCAACGCTGTAAAATAAAAAAAAACTTGACTTATTTTGACGTTTTTGACAGTTAAAAATTCAAAGAACAGCCTCACATGCCTATAACATGAAATTTTAAAATTCCAAGAAAAAAAACAAACAGTGGCAACGCTGTAGAATAATATAAATTTTACCAATTTTGACGTTTTTGACAAAAAAAAAATTCAAAAAACAGCCTCACAAGCCTATAAAACGAATTTTAAAATTTCAAGAAAAAAAACAAACAGTGGCAACGCTGTAGAATAATATAAATTTTACCAATTTTGACGTTTTTGACAAAAAAAAAATTCAAAAAACAGCCTCACAAGCCTATAAAACGAATTTTAAAATTCCAAGAAAAAAAACAAACAGTGGCAACGCTGTAGAATAATATAAATTTTACCAATTTTGATGTTTTTGACAATTAAAAAATCCAAAAAACAGCCTCACAAGCCTATAAAACGAATTTCAAAATTTGAAGAAAAAAAACAAACAGTGGCAACGCTGTAAAATAAAAAAAAACTTGACTTATTTTGACGTTTTTGACAGTTAAAAATTCAAAGAACAGCCTCACATGCCTATAACATGAAATTTTAAAATTCCAAGAAAAAAAACAAACAGTGGCAACGCTGTAGAATAATATAAATTTTACCAATTTTGACGTTTTTGACAAAAAAAAAATTCAAAAAACAGCCTCACAAGCCTATAAAACGAATTTCAAAATTTTAAGAAAAAAAACAAACAGTGGCAACGCTGTAAAATAAAAAAAAACTTGACTTATTTTGACGTTTTTGACAGTTAAAAATTCAAAGAACAGCCTCACATGCCTATAACATGAAATTTTAAAATTCCAAGAAAAAAAACAAACAGTGGCAACGCTGTAGAATAATATAAATTTTACCAATTTTGACGTTTTTGACAAAAAAAAAATTCAAAAAACAGCCTCACAAGCCTATAAAACGAATTTTAAAATTTCAAGAAAAAAAACAAACAGTGGCAACGCTGTAGAATAATATAAATTTTACCAATTTTGACGTTTTTGACAAAAAAAAAATTCAAAAAACAGCCTCACAAGCCTATAAAACGAATTTCAAAATTTTAAGAAAAAAAACAAACAGTGGCAACGCTGTAAAATAAAAAAAAACTTGACTTATTTTGACGTTTTTGACAGTTAAAAATTCAAAGAACAGCCTCACATGCCTATAACATGAAATTTTAAAATTCCAAGAAAAAAAACAAACAGTGGCAACGCTGTAGAATAATATAAATTTTACCAATTTTGAAGTTTTTGACAAAAAAAAAATTCAAAAAACAGCCTCACAAGCCTATAAAACGAATTTTAAAATTTCAAGAAAAAAAACAAACAGTGGCAACGCTGTAGAATAATATAAATTTTACCAATTTTGACGTTTTTGACAAAAAAAAAATTCAAAAAACAGCCTCACAAGCCTATAAAACGAATTTTAAAATTTCAAGAAAAAAAACAAACAGTGGCAACGCTGTAGAATAATATAAATTTTACCAATTTTGATGTTTTTGATAATTACAAAACCAAAAAACAGCCTCACAAGCCTATAAAACGAATTTCAAAATTTGAAGAAAAAAAACAAACAGTGGCAACGCTGTAAAATAAAAAAAAACTTGACTTATTTTGACGTTTTTGACAGTTAAAAATTGCGAAGAACATTTTTACATGCCTATAACAAGAAATTTCAAAATTCTAAGAAAAAAAACAAAGAATGGCAACGCTGTAAAATAATAATAATTTCACTTATTTTGACGTTTTTGACAGTTAAAAAATCCAAAAAACAGCCTCACAACCCTATAACAAGAAATTTTAAAATTCTAAGAAAAAAAGCAAACAGTGGCAACGCTGTAAAACAATATTAATTTTTACCAATTTTGACAATTAAAAAATTCAAAGAATAGCCTCGCATGCCTTCAATACGAAATCTTAAAATTTTAAGAAAAAAAAACAACAATGACAACACTGTAAAATTTTAAATGGAAACAAACTATATTTTTACAAGAATCTGTAATTTTTCTTTTTTTAGTTTGGTTCTTAATCACTAGATGGGCGCCACTATTGAAAGAAAAATCTTCATAAAAGAATACTGTTACAGGAATCTGCAATTTATATAGTTTGGCTATTGATTACTAGATGGCGCCACTACCAAAACTATTTAAAACCTTAAAAATTATTCAAATAATTAGTTCTTACCTTTAGAGCAGCAGATTGTTCTTCTCTCCTTCTAACCGACTCTTCCTGATGATATTTCAAGCGGAACCTAAAAAAAATAACTTAAAAACCTCAAAAAAACAAAAAATTACAGAAAATTCACTTTTATAAGTAAAATAATGGAAAATTCACTCTCTTACATTTTAATTTTTTCCTGGAAAACTGGCAAAGGGAAAATTGTGAAATTTTTCCAGGAGAAAGAGGAGAGTCAGGAGCTTATTATAGGAAAATTTCAAAATTTTCCAGTGGAAAATCACTCCAGGAAAAATTACAGAAAATTCACTTTTATAAGTAAAATAATGGAAAATTCACTCTCTTACATTTTAATTTTTTCCTGGAAAACTGGCAAAGGGAAAATTGTGAAATTTTTCCAGGAGAAAGAGGAGAGTCAGGAGCTTATTATAGGAAAATTTCAAAATTTTCCAGTGGAAAATCACTCCAGGAAAAATTACAGAAAATTCACTTTTATAAGTAAAATAATGGAAAATTCACTCTCTTACATTTTAATTTTTTCCTGGAAAACTGGCAAAGGGAAAATTGTGAAATTTTTCCAGGAGAAAGAGGAGAGTCAGGAGCTTATTATAGGAAAATTTCAAAATTTTCCAGTGGAAAATCACTCCAGGAAAAATTACAGAAAATTGACTTTTATAAGTAAAATAATGGAAAATTCACTCTCTTACATTTTAATTTTTTCCTGGAAAACTGGCAAAGGGAAAATTGTGAAATTTTTCCAGGAGAAAGAGGAGAGTCAGGAGCTTATTATAGGAAAATTTCAAAATTTTCCAGTGGAAAATCACTCCAGGAAAAATTCCAGAAAATTCACTTTTATAAGTAAAATAATGGAAAATTCACTCTCTTACATTTTAATTTTTTCCTGGAAAACTGGCAAAGGGAAAATTGTGAAATTTTTCCAGGAGAAAGAGGAGAGTCAGGAGCTTATTATAGGAAAATTTCAAAATTTTCCAGTGGAAAATCACTCCAGGAAAAATTCCAGAAAATTGACTTTTATAAGTAAAATAATGGAAAATTCACTCTCTTACATTTTAATTTTTTCCTGGAAAACTGGCAAAGGGAAAATTGTGAAATTTTTCCAGGAGAAAGAGGAGAGTCAGGAGCTTATTATAGGAAAATTTCAAAATTTTTCAATTGGAAAATCACTCCAGGAAAAATTCCAGAAAATTCACTTTTATAAGTAAAATAATGGAAAATTCACTCTCTTACATTTTAATTTTTTCCTGGAAAACTGGCAAAGGGAAAATTGTGAAATTTTTCCAGGAGAAAGAGGAGAGTCAGGAGCTTATTATAGGAAAATTTCAAAATTTTAGGAAAAATTACAGAAAATTCACTTTTATAACCAAAATAATGGAAAATTCACTCTCTTACATTTTAATTTTTTCCTGGAAAACTGGCAAAGGGAAAATTGTGAAATTTTTCCAGGAGAAAGAGGAGAGTCAGGAGCTTATTATAGGAAAATTTCAAAATTTTCCAGTGGAAAATCACTCCTGGAAAAATTACAGAAAATTCACTTTTATAAGTAAAATAATGGAAAATTCACTCTCTTACATTTTAATTTTATCCTGGAAAACTGGCAAAGGGAAAATTGTGAAATTTTTCCAGGAGAAAGAGGAGAGTCAGGAGCTTATTATAGGAAAATTTCAAAATTTTCCAGTGGAAAATCACTCCAGGAAAAATTACAGAAAATTCACTTTTATAAGTAAAATAATGGAAAATTCACTCTCTTACATTTTAATTTTTTCCTGGAAAACTGGCAAAGGGAAAATTGTGAAATTTTTCCAGGAGAAAGAGGAGAGTCAGGAGCTTATTATAGGAAAATTTCAAAATTTTCCAGTGGAAAATCACTCCAGGAAAAATTACAGAAAATTGACTTTTATAAGTAAAATAATGGAAAATTCACTCTCTTACATTTTAATTTTTTCCTGGAAAACTGGCAAAGGGAAAATTGTGAAATTTTTCCAGGAGAAAGAGGAGAGTCAGGAGCTTATTATAGGAAAATTTCAAAATTTTCCAGTGGAAAATCACTCCAGGAAAAATTCCAGAAAATTCACTTTTATAAGTAAAATAATGGAAAATTCACTCTCTTACATTTTAATTTTTTCCTGGAAAACTGGCAAAGGGAAAATTGTGAAATTTTTCCAGGAGAAAGAGGAGAGTCAGGAGCTTATTATAGGAAAATTTCAAAATTTTCCAGTGGAAAATCACTCCAGGAAAAATTCCAGAAAATTGACTTTTATAAGTAAAATAATGGAAAATTCACTCTCTTACATTTTAATTTTTTCCTGGAAAACTGGCAAAGGGAAAATTGTGAAATTTTTCCAGGAGAAAGAGGAGAGTCAGGAGCTTATTATAGGAAAATTTCAAAATTTTTCAATTGGAAAATCACTCCAGGAAAAATTCCAGAAAATTCACTTTTATAAGTAAAATAATGGAAAATTCACTCTCTTACATTTTAATTTTTTCCTGGAAAACTGGCAAAGGGAAAATTGTGAAATTTTTCCAGGAGAAAGAGGAGAGTCAGGAGCTTATTATAGGAAAATTTCAAAATTTTAGGAAAAATTACAGAAAATTCACTTTTATAACCAAAATAATGGAAAATTCACTCTCTTACATTTTAATTTTTTCCTGGAAAACTGGCAAAGGGAAAATTGTGAAATTTTTCCAGGAGAAAGAGGAGAGTCAGGAGCTTATTATAGGAAAATTTCAAAATTTTCCAGTGGAAAATCACTCCTGGAAAAATTACAGAAAATTCACTTTTATAAGTAAAATAATGGAAAATTCACTCTCTTACATTTTAATTTTATCCTGGAAAACTGGCAAAGGGAAAATTGTGAAATTTTTCCAGGAGAAAGAGGAGAGTCAGGAGCTTATTATAGGAAAATTTCAAAATTTTCCAGTGGAAAATCACTCCAGGAAAAATTACAGAAAATTCACTTTTATAAGTAAAATAATGGAAAATTCACTCTCTTACATTTTAATTTTTTCCTGGAAAACTGGCAAAGGGAAAATTGTGAAATTTTTCCAGGAGAAAGAGGAGAGTCAGGAGCTTATTATAAGAAAATTTCAAAATTTGATGGACAAAACAGCTTCTTGTTTTGTCGATTCGAGCAAATACAGGATTCTCTAATGACTGTGTTTTCTTCGCCTTTTTTCGAGGAATCGAACCAAAATAATCGCCTAAATCCGGCTCGAAGGACCAAATGTTTATGTTCAACTTGATACTGGTTCAATTGATTTTGTTCTGGATGGATTGGAAGAGAAATAATGATAGGACGACTTGAATGGACTTAAATTGAGGAATAGAATTTTTTAAATTGTGACAAATTTTTATTACTTTCCGACAAGTCTATATTGATTGATATATGCCACCAACATGGGCGTCGTTCCCCCTGGAAATAGTCTTTTGAACAAGAAAGCAGTTAAAGAGAGTTCGTATTCGTATTGCTTTTCTCCATTTTTTCAAAATTTCTGTGAACCTCCCCGTAGTATGAACAGCCAGAATTAATACATTATACATATTCTGTAGTGTGAACTTTTGAGAATATCGGTAGTATGAACAATGTATTTGACTACGAATTTAACCGTTTACTGCCTACTAGTTGTTTTCATCGATTGTTTCTATCCAATTATGGAGTTCCCCGAAGGATTCGAGACAAGATATGTTGAATTACTGCATTCACTCTGATGTGGATTACGCAAGTGGCAGCGCGTCAAGAGCACGTTCAAAATTCTATAAATCTTCAGTTCGTTGTTTGTTGTGGTTAATCAGTTTTGTAAAAATGGCGAAAAACACAATTTTTTCAACTCTCTATGGGTCTGTTCTCACAAGAGTTTCTGACAGTTTCCAAACTGACAGAATGCATCGCCCATGCATGTTTTCAATGCCGTCATTCCAAGATAACTCAGTAACTTAGCTGAGCGACTGTTACTGACAGTTTGCAAACTGTCAGGGACTTTTGTGAGAACAGACTTTATGAGAAGTCAAAAATTCTAGAAGATTGCCAGCAAGGCAATAATAAATATTCGCGCTAATGACACAGAAAGCCTAAGAAACTTTAAGACAAAGTAGGTAGCCATCCATAGTGATGTAAAATTCTCGAAACATTCAAAAGCCGCGAACATTCTCGGAAACTTTCGGGAACTTATGGAAATATTGTTTTTTTTTTTTAAATTTATAGCTAAATCAGACAAATCATAGTAAGCCTTATTTACCTATTATTATAGTGTACTGACTATAGACTATAAACCAAGAAAAACACCTATTTTTTTCTGTAAAATTAAACTATGTAGTAAAAACACTTTTATGGACGGTTGAATAAGGCTTTAAAGCAAAAGCTGATTGGATTAACCCAATCTCTCAGCTCTTTATTTTTTATCTTTTTTCAATGAAGATTATTTAAAAAAAAAGACAAACTGTAGGCTATAGGTTAAATCGGATCAGCGTTTCCGTAAAGACAGTTGGACTGGGCTACGTCATCCACATAAAGTGAAATGACGTCACTGAGACCTTGTATTCGGAATAATCTCGCATTTTTATAAAATTCTTTTGGAAAGTTCTTGGAAATATTCTCGAAAGTTCTCGGAAATATTCTTTTGGGAGTTTTTGATTGAAAGTTTCCGGGAATATTCTCAATCAGGAGAACGTTTCCATTTTTTATCGGCGAATATTCTCGGAAATTTCCCAATGTTCGCGAATATTCGCATGGGAATATTCTCGACTCACATCACTAGCCATCCAATGCTCAAGTAGAACCATTTAGACAAAAATTACATCTCACTTTAATCAATAAACTGGGAAAATTTACTTAATGGATAGGTGTGCAAGTACCTATGGTATTAATTTTTCTTGAATTTTGAGTTTAGAGACCATTGCTGACAATATTTTTCATTTTTAGGTAGACCTGCGATGGTGTGAACGTCTCGATAATATGAACACGTCCGGTTTTTTTGTGTCCACACTAGCGCGAGCAGTGGGTATTATAAAACTACTTTGAGAGTTAACTTAAAGTTAACTTCTGAAAATACATGTAATTC